GAAAACGCTAATCGCTGGTTAATGTCCCTTTTGTCAGTTTAACAGTCAGGCACCGCGTTATCAGGCTGCGGAATCAAAGGTGCCAGTTTTACCATCAGGCTGCTCAGGAATAGCACTTAGGGAAAGCGACCTTTCAACCCCCCCTCTTTTGGGGTCTCTTCAGCCGTCTGTAGAGGGTTGATAATCGAACCCCCTCCTCCTTCTCTCTGGGAGACAAAAGAGGAGTTGAGTCTCCAAATTATTTAACATAAAATGCATAAATCCACACTGTTGTTCACTACACTGTTTTCCCCCGCTTTCTCTCCCTGCCTGCCTGTGCCTCGTTAACCTTGATCCCTGTCACCTGTGTTGCTCCCACCCTGCTCGTTAGTCTGTGTGTATATATATACCTGGTGTTTCTGTCTTGTCTTTGTTGGGTTATTACCTCCTGTTATGTTGTCTACCCTGTGTTGCAGTATTGTCTGCGCTGTCTTGTTGTGTTTGGATTTTGGGCATTCGCCTGTTTCTGGATTTCACTTTGGATTACTTTGTTTTTGGACTTTGTTCTTTCAGCCACTCAACCTGTAAGTGTGCTCGCCTTTTGTTGAAAATAAACTTTTGAATTATATCTGCGTTTGGGTCCTCCAACCTGCTTCACCACACACGAATCCTGACAGCATGTTGTGTTCTAAATGCTGCTGACGACTATAACACATCTACATTTCTGAACGAAGTTGAACAAATTATGGAAGTAATTCCAGAATGAGATCTGACGACGAATTGGACATTGTTGTTACAGTGGCCTTAAAAGAGTGCAGGGGAGGAGGGTTGCGGCTCAAATTAGGGAACATCCCTTATGACCACATTATTCAAAAGAATGGTACCCGCACAGCCTATGAATTTACCGGGTGTTTCTGGCACAGGTGTCCATGTGCCACAGTCCAGGACATAAAAACATGGTAAACGATGTTTCATTTGGGGTTCTCCACAGGCAATTTACTGCTAAAATACTGGCCCTTAAACAGACACACAAACTTCATGTCAGGGTGTTGTGGGAATGTGAATGGGACTTTTTGAAAACTTATGAAGCCCCTGCCAGACTCAACCCCAGAGACGCCCTATTTTGGGGGATGCACAAATGCGTACAGACTGTATTACAAAGCTGCTGAGGGGGAGAAAATACACTTATGACTTCACATCGCTGTATCCAACTGTGCAAGCCCGTAAATGCTATCCAACTTTGAACCGATTGAAAAGTATTCTGGTCTGATAAAATGTACAGTTCTGCCCCCTAGAGGTCTATACCACCCTGCGCTACCTGTTCGTTGTAACAGTAAACTAATGTTTCCCTTATGCAGAACGTGTAGCCAGAATCAAAATCAGACCAGTGACTGCTGCCACTCTGATCCTGAGAGGGCTCTCTCAGGAACTTGGGTCAGTTTTGAGCTGCAAAAGGCAGTTGAAAAAGGCTAGGTGGTAACCAAAATTGATGAAGTGTGGCATTTTGATGGTAAAAGTGACAATTATTTCAAAGATTATGTAAAAACATTCTTACAGAGAAAACAGGAGGCCTCGGGAAATGATGAAGAATCCAGAGCAAAGTACATTCAAGACTACTTTGACAAAGAAGGAATTTGTCTGAACCCAGAAAGAATAGCTGTCAACAAGGCTAACTCCCTGTGGGGTCGTTTTCCCACGCGTGAAAACCAGGCTAACTGTGAACTAGTGTCTGAGCCTGAAGTCTTTGTCCATTACATGTTTAGCAACCAGTACGACGTCAGACAATTTGCATTTGTAACTGATGATGTTGCTCTTGTGCAATGGTGCCATAGATTGGCACGGTCTGCTAAAACTAAAAACATTTCTAAAAATAAAATCTTCCAAGGTGAATATCTAGGCATATTAATCTCACTGATGAGATTAATGGAGACACTGGTGGAAATGAAAATTTTATGCTTACCGCACATTGGAAAACAAAGCAGAGCTAAAATGCAAAGGCATAACATTAACTTCTTACAATGCATCCGTTGTCACTCCAGACACACTGATCGATCTTGTAAGGAATAAAAAGGCTTTTGAACTAAAAAACAGTGTACACCAAACGGCGGGTGATGCGGGAGGATCCCTTGACACGCATTCCTTTACAGTAAAATATTCGTCAGTATAATTTTGCACATAACCTTTTTTTAAAAAGGCCACGTAGTTTTGAAATTCTTACAGTATCACCCACATTATATTTAAAACAAATTACTCTTTTATCTTTTGTTTATACAAGTTGTTAAATACGATATCTTCATTGTCTTTTGTTACATCAGTCGGTTTCATTTTAATACTGCGATGATGACTCTGATTGTAGGAGCTGAACAGGTCCTGCAGTACTTCTACGTATCGTTTAGAATTATTGGCTGTTAAATAATGCCACATTTTAGATTTCATAGTCTGTTAAAACTCTCTACTACAGATGCCTTAGTCTCATTTGGTGTGGAAAAGTGAATGATACTATTAATTTTTATTAATGCTTCAAAATCTTTGTCTAAGAACTCTTTTCCCTCGTCTGTTTTTTATGCGGTATTCTACCGTCAGCTAAAATATTTTTAAAGGATGCCGCGACGCATTTACCACTCTTGTTTCTTAAACAACGTACCTGCATGCATATTTTGAAAACAAGTCTATACATGTTAATAAATAGCGTACCCCATCATTTTCTGCAGAATAAACGGACATGTCAACTAGATCTAGCTGGAATTGCCAATCTATTGTATTCACTAAAACCTTATTTCTCTTAAAATGCACCTGAGCTGTCTTGTGAAGAGTAGAGGCATCTTGCTTCATGAGCCAGTTTTCTGAATCTGCACACTGAACTCCAGTACTGTCAAATATGGCCTTTTGAAGTTTTTGCTTGCCTCTGTAACCCCCTGCATTGTCTGTCGCATAGTATATATTTCTCATCACCTCCTCCATGATCTTTCTCATGAAAGACTGACCCTTCAATGTCTGTGCTCAAGTATTTTATTTCCAAAGATATATCCGTCAGTGAGGATTACAAGTATACACTTTTCAGAAAATCAATACAAGCACCTACTCAGTTAAGCAATACATCACATCAGCAACATCAACATGTTGCATTAAAACACAGAAATCAATAATGAAAGTACAAAAACAAAACACACGACTCATTTGATATTCATTATCATTCACAGGAAAACAATTTGCTGCAGCGAGTAGAGTAGATTTCACATCTGCATATTTATCTGCAGTCATTTGTATCATGGTATAGCATCCTGAGGTCATTGTCTGTTTTTAAAATCTAGAACAACATAGTATCCTATCTGTGTCACATATCGCATTAACAGCTTCACACAACAGTGCTCTCATCTTTTACACGATGTATCTCTTTGACATAGGTCAGTAGACTAGACACATTCCCCATTGTTTTTAGTGTTTTTCCCCCTTCCAGATGTCCAGAGATTGCTTAACTACTGTGCTCACACTGTCCTCCATTCTAACTACCCGTTTAAGCGAAGCAATGAGAAACGGGTTCCTCAACCAAATCTTTAGAGCACCAGCTGCAATATCCCGAATTCTGCACTCACACATCGGTACGACCCCAAGACTACGTAGTATGTACTTTTGAGCATCTGCAAGATTGTTTTCTGCTCCACTCATCTGTATAAGCGCAGTACACGTTTGTTTAGCTTTTTGCTGCAGTATGTCATGTAAATAATAAGCTACGGTTACCTCTATAATACTGCAAACAGTAGTGTTAGGTGATGTGTCCTTATCACAACAGTCCAGAGTGTCCAAACAGGCTCCCGTAAACGGCTTCTCCCTGCTCTCGACCTCTTCTGATTTTTCTTCAGTAATGAAAAATGTTAAATTTCTTTTCCCCAGCTCTTTGCCAAAGTCATCCACCCATGAGTTATCGATATTGTCATCCTGTAATGGAAAATATTTAGGCCTGCTTGATAGAGCCACACCTGCTGAACATGTCCTCGTACCTGTGCAAAACATATACTTTTAATTAGAACAATTGTATCGTCACCCCAACATGTCTACGGGGTTGTCAGTGGTATTGTTTGTTGTTTATCTTCCTTATTCTCAGGACCAAAAAGTGGAGTCATTACTCCCACTTGAATACCTGTGGTGTCCATGATTGTGATGCAGCAAAGATGGCGCTGTTGTTCTGCACAAAGATAGCTCTGTCCGATGCGGATACACCCAAAAATCGTTCAGTCATGCCGTGCCACGCTCTTAGCCAGATGTATACTATGTCAAAAACTATCCTGTTATATACACAACTGACTGCTAAAACCACTCCCAAACCCACTCCCACTCCCAACATCTGTTTTTAGAGGATGAGATCGGACACCCCCCCCCCCCCCCAGACTTAGAAGGGAAAGCTACAGGTGAACACTTGTATGCACTGTACACAGATTAGTTTTTCACGTAATGAAACCACATGTTCATAATCATGTATCTTTTGTTCTAATAGAAGTCTTTGATAGATATCCAGCATCCCTAAAGAGGAACAAAGCATGGTACAAGGTCAAAGGATCAGTATCACAAATTTGGTATTGTAATTGTTGTAATTTTGGCTGTCATTGGTGATAATGACACTTGATGACATCACAAAAAAAAATGTCCGTAACAGGTCAGACCAATATTTTGTATTTTGTCTCTAGTGTTTTGTGCACCTTTGGGAAGCATTCTGTCAGCAGCAGCTCAACTTAAATTAACTTTCACACAAATCACACATTTCCTGTGTTTACAATCTGCTCCCTGCTCTTCATATATTACATAAACATGTATACATTAAGAGCATCTTTTTTAAGTAGATTTCTTTTCAGTAGAGGAATAAGTCTCAATGCATGTGTTTCATGGTATATGTTAAATCTTGATTTGATCTGTGCATGATAGTTTGTAAGTAGTAAATTATGGTGTCACAATACAACTTGTCTTCAATAAATGATTGACTGTCAATTTCCTCATCTAAGATCTGATGTGAAATAATCCAGTCTGTCTTTGTTTTTGCACTTTATTCATTCAGACATACAGTTTGATATAACAAAGACTGTAGAATATCATCAGGAAGCCTGTTGGTAATGTCATGACTGGACAGTTAACCTCAGTAGTCTTTTTGGCAGTGAATCATCAACAAGTGGATTAAAATAACAGCAGTGAATATATCATTCCAGGCAGCGAGACATGTTTTATCATACAAAATACTGTGATGAATTTAGAAGCATCTAGAGAAACAGATTATTTGTATACATTCACTTTATTGCAAGGTTTTCTGAAAGCAAGCATATTATGTCTCTTTTTTTATCATTTGCATAGTTCAAGCAGTTTGTCTAGTTTCCCCAAAGAAGCAATGGTTACATGTGATAGTAGGATATACAGTAACTGAAATCCAAAATATTATAGACATTGACAAATGTATATAATCATCCACAAATGCTACATCTAGTATCAAATATTGGACACCATCTTTTGGCTGTCACTTCTTAACACATCAGATTCCAAGTAATCCAAAAATATCTATGTTATGCTCCTTCAAACAATCCTCAAGAGCAATAAAATAAAAACAAGTCTTCTTTGTGAAACGTAATTGAGTGTAAAAATTGAACCTGTCAACTTGTCATCGAATATCAATGCATCTAAAAAAATATGTACTGCCTCTTTTGAATTGTATTCCCTTTCTAAAAAACGTAAAACAAGAAAAAATAGAAGTATTTTCATAAATCCTTGTTTAGTTTTTGCGTATTAAGAGCCGATAACTGCTTTCCACACACAATCTCATTTTCTGTAACATATTGTCTCTGAATCTCTTGAGTATGGACAGACTTTCTACAAAGACAGGTCACTTGAACATTGAAGTGTGTAAGGGCCAAAAAAGCATACAGAATATAGTCATAACAAAGGGGAGGTGTGTATGTGGTCACAGCATTCAGATCTGTAGGACAGTGCAATGAAGAGGCATGGACAAAACAAGAGCGATAGCAAAACATAGTGTTTTATATCCTGTAAGAAGAAAATATTATTTTGGAGCAAATTTGAACAAGTCCCGAATTTCAAGTGGCTTCTTTATAATGCAAATCATGTGATTTGTTTTAAAACAAAATAAGAATTAAAGCTGCAAGCAGCGTTGGGCGGGCCCTCGCACTTGATAAATAAAAAAATAAAAATATATATATATATATAATCTTAGCAAATTCAATAGGGACCTCGCACGGTCGTGCTTGGGCCCTAATAATTACATAACGTATCACAATAATGAGTTGATATTTTTTGTGTTACTTCACAATATTTGGCTCATTTATGCATTTAGGTTTCTCCAAAGTTAAATTATAAAAACAAATGTATTGTTTACTTAATTTATTTCAAAATGTAATAGTTATTATTGGCCATTTTGGAGTTCCACTTTTAAATGTTCCATTGGTACCATCAATCATTGCAATTCCACTAGATCCAAGCTCCTTTGTAACCCATGTCATTAATATGTCCAGTCATCAAAACATATAAAACACCGACAGGTTTCAGACTTACAGTATGGCACTGCATGACTGGATGAAATGTTGGTGGGATATGTTACATTACACTATTCTCCAGTATATAATTCCACCATTAGCTGACTCCTGATTACACAGATACGTGTTTTTCTAGCAGAGTTACTCTTCTAAGGTCACTTCTATTTTCACTTTCCACATACAACATTCCATTTATAATCGCATTTCCAACATACTATTCATATGTTTAGACAATCACTGGGGGAATTCTAGATGAAGCCTGTTTGAACCAGATGCAGGAGCTGTACACAGCAGTTGGTGGTGAGGTGACCTTTCAGGATGTTGGAGCTAGCCACACTACCCAGAAAAAGGCTCCTTTCTGTCTCTCCTTTTAGACTTTGTTTTTGCCTCGGATGGACGCTTCTTTAAATCTAGGGCAGAAGATTGTGTCACAGCCTGCTGTTTCTTAAAATCAGCTATTGTAAAAGTTGAAATACACATGGTATACCCAAGTGTGTATATACCCCTGCTGGTGTTTTGCTCTGTATTATGCTGTTTGACCCACAGCATTAGGTCCTGTCTGCCAGCTGTGGTTCAATCCTTTTAGACTGAACTGAAACATACAGATTGTTAGTCCAACACAGCAAACGTGTCTGTCTTATTTTCTAACAAAACTGCCATATTCCCTGCCATATTCTCATAATTCAACTAAAAAAGCTTGCAATCTGACTGGCTTCTACCCTAGCTAGTAAAGTCAGCGCAGCACAGAGCAAGGTCATTATTTTGAATGAAGAGTAGCCGATTGGGTCCTAGCTGCTCTTGTAGCAAAAATTCACCTAAATTCAATTTTGACCCCCAAAATACTGACCTCTATGACCAAGGGCATTGAAGCATTGACAGCAGGTAGTGGCTACGAACATGGCTCTTCTGATGTGGAAAAGAGTACAACCTAAATTATTTACTTTCCACCTAACCGCACAGTCCAATGTATGACCACACAAACTCTGTAAGCATGCAGAGCATGCCTGCGTCCAGAAACACCTGATGTGGTATGTACAGAACTATCCATTTTGGAGTATATCAGGGACTTTACGCTACCATCCTACAAGACCCTCAAGCAACTTATTGGAGAGGATGAGGACACCAGGTTTAGCAGCTTTGTAAGATGGGTCATGGTTTCCACTCTTCATCTTTGGCTCTGCATCCCAACAAACTCTGTGTGCTTGCGTATTTGGTGTGACATTATGTTTGACCTAATCAAATGTACGAAACGCTTATGGTTGCATATGAGTGTAACTGACAGCAGATGTGGTTGATAGGGTGGGAGCAGTGTAGAGGATGGGGGTCTGGGTGAAACAGGCATCACAGTGAGTTTAGAAGGAGAGTCCTCAACTTTTTACAAAGGATGAGAGGCTTCGCTCTTGTTTTGGTCAGTTGTCAAAATGTAAGAATATGTCAGTCTTTAACTCCCACTCCTCGCTCGGTGGTTTTTCTAAGTTGATATGGGGATTAGATGAAATGAACTTCCTCCTTTGCCTTTTAATGTCCAGAAGAATGTGCAACGCCTCTCTGTGGGTTTCAATGAGACTCTTTGTAGTAGTCGACTAAGTGACGTTCAACTGTACTTTCCCTTGTTCATCTGCAGTGTGGGCCTCGCATATGCAGTGTTCCCTTGTAAAGTTACCAACAGGGAACCTCAGGTCACATTTTGTCATTGTGAGTGTAAAACATCTCATCACCAACATAGTTCATCAGGAATCTCTACTTTGTAGACTATGTCCTGAGCTAAATGATACAGAAAGATTACACACCATGAAGCTGGTAAGTGGTCTGGAGCCTTCCTTTGTGCCACAGGGCACACATAGTGGGAGACTGTCATAAGTTGGATGAACATGAGTACAAGTCTTTTTGCTCATGCCTCCTAGGAACCTCCTTCGATAGCTTGCCGTGCTTTTGTTGTAGTTTAGGTGCTAAAGAAAATACAGTAATTTGTCTGTGGCCATTTTCATTCTTAAGTTAGTCCAATCCTCAGAAAGATGCTCCATCAAACTTGATAGCAGCCAGTGCTTGAGCTACAGACAAAGGCAGAGAAAGATAATCGCAGGTTAGCTGTGTGTCACTGGGTACCAATTACTGTTTGCTATCATGGTTAATAAATTCGAAGCCATTTGAGGAATGATGTTTTTGTGATCACTGCTACAGCAGGGCAAATTTTAGCTTCTGTTCCTCAACACATTCTTCTACAATGGGTGGTATCTACTTGACACAAGGTTAAACTTATTTGTTGTCTGAAACTTTGGCAGCTACAGCACATCTCTTAGCCTACCTCAGTGTATGGAGTTGTAATCTGAGTATTGGAACAAGTCAGACTTTGTGTTGAGAGTTTTGAGAATGGACCTTCAAGCTCAGTCAAAATGATGCTTAGATAGACAAATTTATAAATCCAAGCAGGTAGTTCATTCCTGTATTCTCTATTGCCTCCTGCAGACAAAATTGATGGAAACAACTCTTTTATGAAATTGGCCTGAAGTTTTTGATCAATGGAATCTAGGTAAGTTTGAGGGTTATATTGAGCACTTAAACTTTTAACATGAACACTACTATTCAAAACGTTATCGTTCAAATGTTTAATGTATCACATCATGAACCTGAAATCAGGGGAATCAGAGTGAAGTGAGCAGAGGGTCTAAACAGGGAAGGGAAAGGAGGGGACTGGTGGGCTTGGTGTGGTGAACGGAGACTCACCTTGTATGACTCACACCTTCATGGTGTGGGCGGAGTTGGGGAAGTCAGCAGAGGATGGGGGAGGGGCCAGGTTGGTCGGGGAGGTGGGGGGACTGGGAACGCACTGGACTGGAATGAGATGGAAGGAGGCCGGAGGAGTGAAAATGGGGGAAAATGGAAAGAAAAACAATGAGTGAACCAATCAGGGAGAAGTACGGTGAGAGAAGCAGGTGAAGAGGATGGGCTCCTGTGCATTCAGAGGTGTAACTGTAACAATACAGACATCTGTGGACATTCAGGGTAAAAAAAACTGTTAATTCTGCCTTCCCTGGATCATCGTGTATCCTCTGAATATGTTTCCAGATTGTGCATGTGTGACTCCCCTCAAGTCTTCAGCACTTGCTGAACTATGAGTTGACCTGAAAAGGTATCACACAAGTGCTGCTGAGACTGATGGAAATAGGAATAGTGTTGCAGGAATAAGGAAGACTATTTGGTCTGATAATGGTGCTAGACAAAAAGGCGGGGTGTCTGTATGTGTTACAAAATTGCTGTAATGTATCTTATGACATACATGCATCAGGGTGCATTAATACAGTTCTATTAAACACAAAGGCACGTGAAAGCAAAACAAACTGCTTCTGTTATTGTAGATACTGTACAGATGTTTTGTAGATGATTATGGGAACATGCATTAGCAAATGATGCCTGATGACACCATGACTTCAAGATGTATGTAACGAAATACTGAGTATGGTATATACTGTATTTTTTTTTTTTTTACAACTTGGCTCTTATTTTGACAGTTTTGAAATTTAAGAGTAGGCTCAAGACTTTCCTCTTTGATGAAGCTTATAGTTAGGGCTGGCTCAGGTGAGTCCTGAACCATCCCTTAGTTATGCTGCTATAGGCCTAGACTGCTGGGGGACTTCCCATTAAGCACTGAGCTACTCTCTTCACCTCTCTCAGTCAATCTGTATGCATTCTGTTCCTATTAATGCATGTTACTTACTTGACTTCTTCCCTTTCCCGTAGTCTTGGGCTTTCTTATCCTTGGCCAGACTATCCTCATTGACTGTTTGAAACTTTATTTGCACAAGGATTTAATGCATAATGACCTTATGTGCCTTTCTACACACTGCTGTTTGAAATAATTTGGAGACAAGTGACCAATGTTTTGACATTAAAGTTCCAGTCCTGGTTCATTTGGCGAATTAGTTGTTATTGGTGGTAACAGTGAATGCAGATTAATGCTACAGCAAACACCAAAATGACCTATAAAAGCCAGAATTTTCAACAGTAAATCAATTAAAAAGCCACACCTTCCAGCTATACATTTTCTAAAAATGATATATGATGTTAGAAGTGTTTGCCTGTAAAGATATCTCGACAGGTTACATTTACCACACAAAATTCTTCTTAAACGACACCCGAAGATCAGCATTCAATTTCAGAGGTGAGTTGGGTGAATTACGGAGGTATGGGCAGACACATGCACTATGTAGTGTTGGGAGTAAGTAATGTCCTGTGTCGTGTGATCATGGTGAGCAAGTTAGTGCGAGAGGGTTAGTGACGCGGCGATAGTGGCAGCCGGACGGAGAGAGTGCTCACCGGAGAGAAGGCGGCTGCGACGAGAAGCCTCCGCAGCCAGAGCACAGGAGATCTCAATTCGCTTCTCCTGCTCTTGCAATTGCTGTTGGGAGCTGGCTTGAGCTCCACCCTCCACTGGGCCGTCCAGGAGAGGAACCACATTCTGCAAACTGACAGTGGGTAGATGAAAGGAGACGCAAAGACAAAGGAAGAAGGCGGTGGTTTTGTTAGTCATAAATAGTGATTGTGCTACATATAATAATATAATGTCATCTGCATATAAGGAAACATTGGATTCTGTTTTTTTTAATATTTCTTTAAAAGAGCAGTAATGAAGAAGTGGACAACCTTCTTGGATCCTCTGCAATTTAAAAGTAACAGAATCATACTTTACATGCATATTTATAGAACTTCACCACAATAGAGTCACTACACTTCCTGAACATGAAGGAACCAGGCCAGGTAAACAATTAACAGGGGAACAGGGTTTTTTTGAAAAAACAGAAATATTCCAGCAGCTGGGGTGCCAGAAAAATACCATAAAATAACAGTAAATAACTAACTTGTAAAAGAATGGAAATATTCCGGCAGCTGGGGCGCCAGAAAAATACCTTAAAATAACAGTTAATAACCAACTCGTAAAAATACGGTAATATTCCATAATGACAACAGTCTGTAACTTTAATTTTACATAAAATCTTGTGCAATTTTTGTGGCTTTTATTGTTTATTTAAGAACATATACACCTGTAAAAACAATTAAATAACTTTTAAATATAGTTGAAAACTGCTATAATACAAATAATCAGGCTTAAAATTTATAGTAGAGTGCTGCTTTTAATTGAGTTTTATTATATAATTTCACATAAAAATCTTGTTAATGTAATCAATATATTGTAAAAAAAAAAAAAAAAAAAGATACAAATACTAGATTTTCCTTTAAAAAACGTCAAAATACTGTTCTAAAACAGGTAATCTGCAGTGTGTGTGTACATTGGACTTTTGGACCGTTCTTGGACCATTCTTCTAGAAGCGCATTTGTGAGGTCAGGGACAGATGTTGGATGAGATGGCCTTGCAGGCAGTCTCCACTCTAATTCATCCCAAAGGTGTTCTATCGGGTTGGGGTCAGGACTGTGCAGACCAGTCAAGTTCTCCACACCAAACTCGCTCATCCATGTCTTTATGGACCTTGCTTTGTGCACTGGTGCGCAGTCATGTTGGAACAGGAAGGGACCATTACAACTGCTTCCACAAAGTTGGGAGCATGAAATTGTCCAAAATGTTTTGGTATGCTGAAGCATTTACAGTTCCTTTCACAGGAATTAAGGGGCCAACCCCTGAAAAACACCTCCACATGTATCCGATGCTTTGCATTGCACTTGGTGATGTAAGGCTTGGATGTAGCTGCAAGGTAGTGTAGATCATCTGCCTATTGGTTATCTGCTCTGTCATTCTTGCAGCCATGTAGCCACCAGACTTGAATTCTTCCCCAATTCTGTGGAGAGGGCTATGGACTAACATTTCCAGAATTTGGTCACCATACCAATTATTAAGGGAAACTTATTTAATGTCTTGCAGACCTTGGAAAGATATACTGTTGATTTTGTTTGCCGTTGTTTATGTTTTCCAATTGAGCTAAGAGCCCAGGTGGGTTTTTTAGGTCATCCAGAGGTGTTGTTGTGCAAAGTCGGTCGAATCTGAAAATGGACTTTTGGCTTGCATACTAAAAACTTGCAAACAAATGGATTCATTTGGACTGCCAAGAAAAACTTCACATTCGCTCTTTCTACTTGCATATATTTGCATCTTTTTTGTATACCAACTTAATTTAGAAATTTTGGACTTCCCCAACTCCTGTGCACACAGTTGTGCACTGCCTTGCAAGGCCAGGTGGACCTAATTCCGCAATCAGCTGTAGCACTCCTGGGGCAGAACTAGAGGACAGTAAAGGAACAAGGATGCACAGCACAGAGAAACACATACAGCCGTATGCCGTACCAGATACAAAAACTGGCTTTAGAAAGTCATAAAATATCATATTGAAACCAGGGAAGAAGTCTTTGGATTGTGCATTAAGTTCACTGTATGTAAAACAACCATTTTCCCCTCTCCTTTGCCTTTCATGTCTCTGCACAGTCCTATCAAAGCAAAATGCCAGCATTTTAAGAAATACTTTCCAATTACTTTACATTCAGATTGCACTTTAATCTTGGAGCTGTGTCTAAAAGTGTCCAAAATATTCTTTATGTTGAACCACTTGGGTTTCTAATGAATAGATCCGAAAATATCGTCAGTAAGGTAAATAAAAACTAAACTACTTTACAACAATTCTTTACACTGAAATGTTTGACTTGTGTGGCTTATTTGTTGTGAGGATGAAACTAAATAAATGGTCTATAAATAGTATCAGATGTGGGAATTTGTATTGTGGTGGTACATTAAAAGGTCTGTGGGGTGGTGATGGTGCAATGGATAAGATACATGCCGTTGGTGTGAGAGACCCGGGTTCAATTCCCCACTGTCACCCATCCACCATTGTGTCCCATTGTGCAACCTCAATTGTAAGTCACTTTGGATAAAAGCGTCAGATAAATGTAAATGTCTGAGTTTCCTAAATTTAAGGAAGTCTGTCACAAATAACCCTAGTACAATATAGCTCAAAATGGGTTTCTGGTCTCTGTTATAGGATAAATGGAACAGGATAAGGAAAAGGATAAAATGTGAACATGTGGAAAATTTTAATTATGAAAAAACAGGATTTAAATATGTTTGTTTTAGGTTTTGATAATACACCTATAGCTAAAACTCTTCAATTGAAGTATCTGTAAAATTGCATTAAAATAAATTTTTCATCACAAACCTGTAATTTTATAGGAAGTTTTCTTTTTTATCCCCATTAAAAGGTGTGAACACCTGTCATTTAACAATAAATTAGATATTACCTTTCTGTAATTTTTCCACTTTGGGGCAATTATCCATCCATCCATCCATCGTCAACCGCTTATCCTGCGTACAGGGGGGGCTGGAGCCAATCCCAGCTGACATCAGGCGTTTGGGGCAATTATATACTATGTTAATCTAACTTGTAATCTAAGAATTATAATAAAAGTCAAAAGCTGTGAAATTACAGTAATTATGGCTGTTTTCAATGATCAAAACTGTGTTTCGACAGTAAACACTTGTAGACACTAAATTTATTTAATGTTTTTATTTTCCAAATATCCATAATTAAAGGAGATATTTGTCAATTAACAAGAAAATCTATGTCAAGTTACAGAACAAATGTTTTTTGTTAAGGTTAACTGTTACTAATTGTACCAAGTTTAAGAAATGTTTTTACAGTATTAAACTTAAATTTAACCCTTTTTTTCTTTTAAATAAGAAAAAAAATATTTGTGAAAATACGGGAAATTCCTGAATGTATTGTAACAGTTTGTTTATGTGAAAAACCCAAAAGGTTTCCTTAAGATAACAGAAATGTTATGGTTATTCACAGCTAGAGGTTTTTCATGTTATTTTACATTAGACATGTAAATTTCCTGTTTATTTTTGTCCATCCATCCATCATCAACCGCTTATCCTGTGTACAGGGTCGTGGGGGCTGGAGCCTATCCCAGCTGACTTTGGGCGAAAGGCAGAGTACACCCTGGACAGATCGCCAGTCCATCGCAGGGCCAGTTTGTTTTTGTAATTTTTTAAAATTTTCATGTATTTCAAAAATACAGGAAAAATCTGTGAAATAAAAAGGAATAAAACTGTCAAAGTACAGATTTTTTTTAGGGTAAGACGCAGAATAGAGGAAGGCAGAGGAATACAAAGACAAGGAGCTATTCCATATGTAACATAGGCCACAGTTTTGTACCATGTAATTAACCATGGCATTACAATGGCACAAGCTGGTCACAGAATGCAGCCTAATGTAAACCGTGCCACAGTGTCTGAAAACAGGTATGTATTCATTATTACAATACTAATAAAAATCTATCAACACCCACTTTGATTTGGCAATGAGTGTCTTGATCCGTTCCAGTTTCTTCTGCTTCTCCTTCTGTTCCTCTGGGCTCAGAGGAATGTTATCCTCCACGTCCAGGTAGCGCTCTGGGATCACAACCTTGTCAGGAGCCATCAGCTACAATAAACATGATGCACATAAAGAAACATGGACACAAATACACTTTTACACCAATTCAGGGTTCAGTATCTTGCGCAAGGACACTTCGACATGCAGCCTGGAACAGGTGATTGAACTGCTGATTTCCCAATTAACAGGCAACCTGCCCTGAGCCACAGCCATCCATTTGAGTCCTTACTGAGCTGTGACACATGCACATAGACAGACAGTAGATGAATTATATGATGTAAGAAAATGTCTCAGGGCCATCAACAGAATTGGTCTCACCTCTTTGCTGATGTCCAGGTCATAGTGTTCTGGTTCAACCTGTGACCGTCTCAGGCGAGCAATTTCTTCCCAAGGGGACTCCTGACCCTGGCCTCGAACCGCTGCCTCCAAGTCTTTGATGTCAATCTCGTGAGCTGTCAGTCGCCTACGAATCTGTCCACACACACACAAATACAGATACTATCAAATCATCCACGAGCTCAAACCTGTTCAAAAACAGGGTGGTGGGGATTGTTCCTTTTCCTACCCCCAATTTAGACTGTTAAGGTCCCCTGCATTGCAGCCCTTTTCAGTTCAGTTGTGCTTTATTGGCATTTTCATTGCTACCTCTGTGTGATGATCTTATTCAAATATTATTGAGGATTGACATGGCCAAAAGTCTCAATATCAACTTTAAAGCTGTCTTCATCTTAGTTGTTTGTGTTTTAACCCATGATACAGACAATAGTCACCTGTGTTACTTTGTTACTGAAGAATACGCCTGGATGTGATGATTATGAGACAAGCCATGAGTGCCTTTTTGTGTAATATCTAAGTGGATTTATGGACACTGAATCCTGACAGAAATGGAAAGAGTAAGTTTCACAAATTCCATCAGTGTGAGTTTATTTTCCTTTTTCTAATTTGACTAACTACTCTGACTCTGAGCTTGTGAAGGCAAATTCTGTCATTCAGGTGACAGGTGAACTTATTAACTCATGCCCTGACACACTAAGTTAAGTGTGCACAAAGTTAATTAAAGCTTCTTAGTTGTCTACAACTGTCATCTGAAAGATTATGTAGCTGGAAGTATATGCACATATTTGATCATACCACTTTGTAGTTGGCTGGAGCCTGGCCGCCTGGGAGGTTTAGACTCCGTCTCTTGTCCCGCACAGAGCTGCTCTGGTTGCGGCGGAGTCGCTCATTCTGCTCCTCCACACTCATCTTCGACTTCACCTCTGCAGGAAACACAGCGCTCTTTGGACGCTCCTGTGACAAAGATGGAGCATAAAAACAATCTTTTCTTTCAATTCAGGCAAGATGTCAGTCCTAGTCCTATTGTCCTATTGCCTGTCACATTTGACCATACAATACTATGAGATACACATAAAACTGAGTTGGAATATGAGAGAAAGAGGTTCAAGTCCTATCTCAAGGAGAGAGGCTATTTTGTCTCACTATCCGAGCAAACCAACATGACGTGTGGAGTTTTCCAAGGTTAAATCCTAGGGCCCCTATGCTTCCATTAGGCTAGATTATATAAAACAATGAAACATTTCATCATTATGCACACTATTATAACACCTTCTATATTTTTGATCTAACATTTGTCGATTAATATTTTACTTTGTATTTCTTGCTTTCAGTGCTTTGTGTAAAACATTTGCCATTGTGTATAAAATGCTGTACAATGTTGGTGAATGTTGTTATTTGGCTCTAGGATTTACATAGTCGAATCAGAATCGTCAAGTCCGGCCTATAGTGGGCTGATAGTCGAATCATGTGTGTTTTTGTGCATACCGTTTGCGAGCGGGGGAGGGGGTTACACACGGTAGCTCCGCTTTAATCTTGAGAAGTTGCAGAGCTGCAGTCTCTTTTCATTCAACTTACACCATAAATTTACAGCTTGCGTGCATTACTGCTGCCGACAACTGCACGCACGTTGCGGTTCCTCGCGGGTCTATTTCAAGTAGCCAGTTATTTTAAAACGATACAATATTCTTTGTGTGGTTCATCAACGGTGACAAATTATCCAAAAGTCCAGACAGCTCGGCACAACACCAGTCAAGCAGGGGCTCTGTCTCTTCAGCAAGTGTTCCTCTTCTGCCACTACACACATACACGCTACGTCTACACATGCACACTAACGACCCAGGGTTAGGGTTACAATTTTGGATTTATTCCCGCACTTTAAAAATATTTATTGAAAGTTTTATTCTTTTTACATGTTTATTTACAGCATTAAACATTGAAATATATATTGTAATAGGCAGTATATTAACTTATTGGGAGAAAACTGGTAGTTCTATGTAAAATCAGACATTGAGCACCCCCATATCGCCAAAATGGTATGATCCTTGTTTCGCTAGCATGGAATCTTCGACTGTTCGGGGTCAGCCCTATTTGGCTCTTTATCTTTTCTTGAAGGAACATACTATGCTGATGCAATTGTATTTACATTTTATTTGTATTATTACTGTATAAGACCATAAAAGTAAATTGTTAAGTCTTGCATAATAATGTATCTTTCTGTCCAAGGCCAACCCCAGATAATGGGACCTTAAACCCATGATCACAAGACAAAACATATTAATAAATTGTTACTTGGGCAAAAACATGAACATGTTAGCACTTATCTATGGTAGTGCTTCTAACTAGATTGAACAAATTTAATTAATAATTAATAATGAGTTGGAAGCATGGCTTACTTTTATGAGGCCATTAAGACTGGAAAGAAATAAGAATAATATCCCAAATATCTGAATATTAACATCTCAACCCCCTTAGCTACTTGAAGATGTATTTTCATGTTATCCTTTCTATTAAGGTTGTAAGTTGGTGGTAATCATAATGTTGCATGGCTGTCTGTTGTCTTGTATGCTAAATATGTGAAAATACTGTAAAACCTAATAATAGTAACACAAGGGGGCACTAATCTAGTTCTCAGACCACAAATGTGAGTATTGGAACAGATCCATGGTCCCCCTGTGAACACTAGTTAAATGGTCCGATGATGTTCAATTCCACACAATGTTTTGTCTGAAGACTTGAGGCTACACTCCTGTGTATGCCAGGGCTTAGATAGACATTTGGAAATTATTTACATGTAGTTTAGGTTGACATACCCTAGAGATTCCATTAGGCACTCTGCCATTACGCCGGGAAACTCCAGCAGAGCTGCTGTGTGATTCGTCGGTGGGGGACTTCGTTCTAGGAGGAACAATGCCAACTGGCAAGGGACACAAGAAGCTCAAAACCAAAGGAAGAAGAGGGAGCTGAGTTCTCAAAACTAATACTAAGGAAATGAATGTGCTAGTCTCACTGAATATAATGATCTTCCTCTGAGAAAGGATCACATGGAAACTTGATGTTTTTTGTACCTTTATTCGTGGTGGATTGTCTGTCCTGGACTTGATCCGGCACGTCACTAATATTGTTCTGTTCTCCAAACTTGGGCTGCAAGATGGAGAAATAACATTATTTGTCATGTAATCAATGTTAAACTGAAGGTGGTTAAACATCTGCTGATTAAATAGAATGCATTAGCTAATGCATTACTTTGTATATTGGGGTCTCATGTTCACACCAGCATGTATATAAATTTTCATACCAAAATAATCTAATTTCAATGGAATCGCAGTGATCAGTGGATTCGCCCACTGAGCTTTTACAAAGTTTAACTAAGGTAAACCTGACTGTGGTGTTGACCAGTTGCAAACCGTCTTGAAAATTTGATTGAACAAAGACAACCTGGGTGTCCAAAATGGACTCTTATTTCTCCTTATACACTGTTCCACAAAAGACATGCAACGTGGTTTGTAGCCAGTCAATTTGTTCCTTTCAGTTAATTGTGTCTACTCATTGTCCAGTTACAGACCCAGGGTAAAAGTTGTCCTTGCAAAGCTTCCAGCACCACCTAATTAGTGAGAATACATGAATGATTTTCACTGTGCTGCTTTCTGGTGTGAGCAAGTACTAACTACCATGACTAAATCACTACCAAGACACTACACAAAAAGGCACATAGAGAGTTTGACAGATGATCTGTGGCTGTAGAGAACTCCACACCTGGTAGCAGGACACAACAAGTGCTAAGTACTGCTCATCCTTGTCAAGAGAGGGCTGTTGCACCAAAGCACCTGCAGTGCATTTTGAACTGAAACGTAACAAAATTTACACTGTTTGTTAAAGCATGCAGCCAACATGGCTTTTAGGAGCAGACGCATTAAAAAGTGCAAAGGGAGAGCAGCCAGGTCAATTACAAGCTGATATGGAGACAGAGTAATAATCAGATGCAATGGGTTAAGCGCTTGAAGAAATGAAAAGAAAGAACATGTGGAATTTGGAGGGAAGAATGGTCTCTGGCAACATTATGTTGACTCATGGGCAGGAGAGGGGCAGAAACACCCAAATACCTTTCTGATGTGGGAATCTTCACCCTCAAGGTAACCATCATCGATGCCCAAGCTGTGTAGCCAGGCGGTGCTGTCAAAGGGCAGGGGAGGGATGGAGGGAGGGAAGGTAAGGGAGGGCTCCAAAGGGTAATAGGACTTGGGAAGGGGAGGCCTTGGGGGAACACTTTCCTAGATCACAATAAAGGAAGGAGGAAAGGAATGAAGGAAAGAAAGGACAGGAGGAAGAGAGAGTGCTGCACATCAGGAGTGATAATAAGCCAGGCAAAGTGCAGAGCAGAACGGACTCATGGCAATGATTCTGTGGAATGGGGTCTTGATCCTATTTCAAGGAGTTAGATGTGAAAATCCCCAGGTGGCCAGTGGAATATCTGACAGCTTCTCTAATTACTTAAATCCACAGTTCATTAAAGGCTCTATGAAACAGCCTCAACATTTCACATCATTACCATATAAGTCATTTACTGAAGAAAAAAATGATCAGGCTGATTTTTAGGCTGTGTAATATTTTAACAGCATTGCATTGTAAAGAAACAGATTAGGTCCTTCTTGAGAAGTGGAATTGAAAGGGTAATGTTTGCCATTGCTACTTAAGAGAAAACTTGTACTGCAGCACTTGTACTGTAGTCCAACACGTAATTATTAAACTAAACCAAACTGACAACCCTGTGATCAGTAGATGACCCACAGGTGGTAACCTCAGCCACAAGTGAACCCTTAATTTTATTAAAATATTCTAGCTTCAATCTCATCCAATATCTTTATGTGCACAAAGCACAACAGTGCCAAATAGCGTTATTTGAGAAAATAGATCAGGGATGTATGCAAACTCTTTCTATTTAATGGGATCCCTGTAGAGCAGTTAAAGAATGAGCATTGGCAACTGAAAGGTTAGATGAGAATGATGTCTGCAAAAGCAGTTACTGTAACAGCACCAATAGTGTTACAAAAGGGGACAAAAGAACAAAAATGATGACCTTTAGCAATGGCAGCGTAAAATATTTATGATAAAATATTGTCCCTGTATTTACAATATTAAAAATCAGAACAGATGAAATTTGGAATGATCAGAATCAACTGTGAAGTGGTGTCCTTTTCTTTAAAGATGGGTCTGCATGAACACTTTACCTCGGTTATTGCTAGATAAATCAGACTGTGTTACAGCACAGATTATTGGAGCAATGCCAAGTCCCCCTTTATTGTTGGGGTATGTAAGAGGCCTAGCACCTTCACCAGCATGACATAATGACCGAGAAGCTAACTGGTTATGGTGTTGGGTTTCAGGGCTAGCAGTTCTACAACAAGGGACTGAAGGCGTATAAAGATCTGGGCTGTAGCGTAATGATAAAACATCAGTCCGATAGGAGTCCTGGAGAAGCAGGATCTGGGATTCAGGCATAGAAAAGCGTCTGTTGGAGGACAGGTTTCTGAGGCCTTCATGGTACCCTGGTGTGATGTGATATGGTTTGGAGTCTGGATAGACATCTTTTCTGAGGCCAATCTTGACTTCTTGGCTGCAAATATTTGAGGTTAACCAACTAACTTCCTGAAGATCAGAGAAAGTTTGGGCTGTGTCTGATTGCTGATTGGGGTATTTGGTGTCCTGGCATTGTATTTGTTCTCCAGCTCTGACTTTGGCTGGATTTATAGGTTGGTCAAAGTTTGAGTTGGTTCTACAATTGATGTTAAGGTCCGTTTCCTCTATGACAGGGTCTAATCTACCCAAGGACTCCCTAAGATTTTGGAAAGCTAGGGAGAGCTGAGGAAAGGTGTGGTCATGGGTTTCAAAACTATAGTACTTCATATTTTCTGCAGGCAGGTTTGTGTCAGGTTCTGTGTAACTTCTGGGTCTACACCTAGGCTTAGGGTCAGTTTTATAATGAGGCACTATACATGACTTGGGTCGGGGTTTAGGGTTTGATCTTTTACGCACTTCAGGGTTGGTTCTAGAGTCTGAGCATGGGCCTGTGCCAGGTTTTGGATTGGGGTTGGTCCCCAGCTGGGTGTATCCGGTGCTTACCTCCGGGCCCAGCTGTTTTGTTGGGGAGGCCTGGGAGCCGGGAACTGGGGAGAAGGGGCTGAGTGGACTGGTGAGGCTTATTGAGCTCAGGGGACTGGCTGGACTATTGGTGCTAAAGGAACCTGATGCACCGCCGACCACTGTGCAAGAGAAAGAAAGGGAGGTGGGGTGGCAGGGATAGAGTCATTAGAATATACACTGGTGTTGGTACTGGTGTTTCCACTAAATAAACACATGGTTATTTTCCAGCTCCAGTAAGTTACCTCTGTGCTTGGCTGTGTCAGTGCCACGCGATGAGTTATTCTTGTGCAGTCCCTCTAATACATCCTGGACTCTCCAAAACTCTTTCTGGATGTGCTTACGAACCAGTTCACTCTGCAAAAACATAGTACAAACAAAACTGAAACAAAACTAGAAAAACAATTTTCAATGATTGTTAGTAACATATATACATACTATATATATATAAAGCTGATTTTTTATATGTATATGTAAATTGTGTTTTTAAAAAATAGTGATGATGACAGTGTGACCTTTTACCTGCCCTCCTGCATTAAGCTGCTCCCATAGATCTCCATGAATGGCGCTGGCCTCATCCTCTAATGCTTCAAACTCCATACGAGTGGTGGTTAAAGCCTGGGAGAGTTACAAATAAAGGTAGCCAGAATCAGATGACGTTTTTTACATCTGTGCCTTGCTTTTCTGACATGAATGTCTTTAACTTTCAAATTGAATTGTGTATAAATAAAAACAGATGTGAAAGTTAGGCTTTTTCTTACAACCTGGCTCTTGGTTTTGTATTTGGGCCTCTCCTTACCTCAACTATCAAAACAAAAGCTATCAAATTCACTGCTGCAACACTGGTAGACACAGCTTTATAACAGTGTCTATCTAGGGTTTTTTTAGGATCACAAATACGATCCTGAATATGTTTAGCAGTGTCTTACACTGGAGGCCTGGGAGAGCTCCCCTCTGATGTTGATGAGCTGATTCTGAAGGGTTTCCTTTTTGAACTGCAGCTTTTCCATGGCCAAAGGCTGATTATGGTACAGCTCCATCTCCTGATGAGTTGCCACCAGCGCTTCCTCCAAGCTGTCCTGGGAACAGCAAGCATGGCAAGAAAGAAAGGACAAGTTTATTGCAAATGAACTTTCCTGACCTTTTCCCTAAACGGAAACAATGGGTGAAGAATTCCAACTCACTACTTTGAGTCTCAAAGCCATATTCCAGGTAATTGTACAAGTTGCAGCTGGAAAAGAGCTAATAATGCTTTTATCCCTATAATATTTGATGTTAAAACATATAACAACAGATCAATTTGAACGTTAACAGGTTCTGGGTTGAAAGTGTAAATGTTTCAAATGTATGTAGAATGTTATAAAATGAAAACAATAAGTGGGTGTATGTTATCCCAAGTGACTGTATATGCTGAGTGACCAGAAATATAGTGCAAACGAATAGGAAAATTAAATGTGGACTCTTAAACATCAGATCTCTCTCTTCTAAAGGTGTACTAGTAAATGAACTAATATCAGATTATGATATTGATTTATTTTGTCTTACTGAAACCTGGCTGGGTGATGGAGAATATGTTAGCCTAAATGAATCCACCCCTCCCAGTCATATTAATACTCACATTCCTCGAGGCACAGGCCGAGGAGGTGGAGTTGCAGCTATCTTCGACTCTAGCCTACTAATCAGCTCTAAACCTAAACTAAATTATAACTCATTTGAAAGCCTTGTTCTTGGTCTTTCACACCCAAGTTGGAAATCACTGCAACCAATTCTATTTGTTATAGTGTACCGAGCACCTGGTCCGTACTCTGAATTCTTATCTGAATTTGCAGTTTTTGTCAACCTTAGTCCTTAAAACAACAAAGTTATTATCATAGGGGATTTTAATATTCATGTGGACGTTGAGAATGACAGCTTTAGTAGTGCGTTTATCACTCTGTTAGATTCCACTGGCTTCTCTCAGAGTGTTCATGAACCGACTCACTCACACCCTGGACCCTGCTCTTGTATATGGTATTGAAATTGAACATTTAATAGTGTTCCCACAGAATCCCTCTTTATCTGACCACTGTTTGATAACTTTTGAGCTTGTATTGCTGAACTACACGCCATTGGGCAAAAAGTTTATACAAGATGTCTGTCTGATAGTGCTGTAGCTAAATTTAAGGATGCGATTCCATCAGCTCTAAATAAGATCACAAAGTAACGGAGGACTCCTATGCTAATTTCAGTCCCTCCCAAATCGATCATCTTGTTGATAGTGCTGAAGGCTCGATGCGAATGACACTCGACTCTGTTACCCCTCTAAATATATCGTGGAAAACTTGAGAGGAATTGGCGTTCCACCAAACTGGAAAATTCTCATTTAATTTGGCAAGATAGTCTTAAAAGTTATAGGAAGGCCCTCAATGCCAGAGCAGCGTACTACTCGTCATTAATAGAGGAAAATAGGAACAACCCCAGGTTTCTTTTCAGCACTGTAGCCAGGCTGACAGAGAGCCACAGCTCTATTGAGCCAAGTATTCCCATAGCTCTTAGTAGTTACGACTTCATGAGCTTCTTTAATGATAAGATTATAACTATTAGAAACAAAATTCACCAAGACCTGCCCTCAACTGGCACCAACTTATCTCTAAATTCAGGAACCTTAGAAACAGCTGTAAAACCAGATACTGTATGTTTAGACTGCTTTGCTTCCCTCAATCTTTACCAACTAACTTCAATAATTTCTTCATCTAAACCATCAACCTTGATCCAGATGTTTTAGCCAACTATTGACCTATATATCTAACCTTCCATTTCTCTCTAAGATCCTTGAGAAAGCAGTCGCCAAACAGCTGTGTGACTTTCTACAGAGCAATAGTTTATTTGAGGATTTTCAGTCAGGATTTAGAGTTCATCATAGCACAGAGTCAGCACTGGTGAAAATTACTAACAACCTCCTAATTGCATCAGACAAAGGACTTGTCTCTGTACTGGTTTTATTAGATCTTAGAGCTGCATTTGATTCCACTGACCATCATATCCTATGATCCTATCCTAATCCTACAGAGACTGGAGGATTTCATTGGCATTAAAGGAACCGCTCTTAGCTGGTTTAAGTCTTATTTATCAGATCGATTTCAGTTTGTACATGTTAACAATGAGTCCTCCATGCACGCCAAAGTTAGTCATGGAGTTCCACAAGGATCTGTGCTCGGACCAATCATCTTCACTTTATATATGCTTCCTTTAGGCAATATTATCAGGAAACACTCCATAAACTTTCATTGTTATGCAGATGATACTCAGTTATATCTATCGATCAAGCCAGATGAAACTCATCAGTTAGCTAAACTTCAAATGTGCCTTCAGGATGTTAAAACCTGGATGACCTGTAATTTTCTAATGTTAAACTCAGATAAAACTGAAGTTATTGTTCTAGGGCCCAAGCACCTCCGTGACGCATTATCTAAAGATATAGTTTCCCTTGATGGCATCGCCCTGGCCTCCAGCACCACTGTGAGGAATCTTGTAGTTATCTTTGACCAGGACATGTCGTTTAAGTCTCAGGTTAAGCAAATTTCAAGGACCGCCTTTTTTCACCTACGTAATATTGCAAAAATCAGGAACATCCAGTCTAAAAAGTTCATGCATTTGTTACTTCTAGGCTGGATTACTGCAATTCCTTATTATCAGGCTGCTCGAAAAAGTCCATTAAGACTCTTCAGCTGATCCAGAATGCTGCAGCACGTGTTCTGACAGGAACACATGGCTCCGGTTGTAGCTTCTCTGCATTGGCTTGCAGTAAAATCCAGAATAGAATTTAAAATCCTTCTTCTCACCTACAAAGCTCTTAATGGTCAGGCACCATCTTATCTTAAAGAGCTCATAGTACCTTACTACCCCACCGGAGCACTTGTGGTTCCTAGAGTCTCCAAAAGTAGACTGTGAGCCAGAGGTTCAGCTATCAAGCTCCTCTCCTGTGGAACCAGGTTCCAGTGTGGGTTCAGGAGGCAGACACCATCTCTACATTTAAAAGTAGGCTTAAGATTTTCCTCTTTGATAAAGCTTATAGTTAGGGCTGGCTCAGGTGAGTCCTGAACCATCCCTTAGTTATGCTGCTATAGGCCTAGACTGCTGGGGGATTTCCCATGATGCACTGGGCTCCTCTCTCCTCTACTTTCTCTTCCTCTGTATGCAACCTCATCCCATTAATGCATGTTACTAACTCGACTTCTCCCCTTTCTGGTAGTCTTGTGCTTTCTCGTCCCTCTCCTCTCTCCTCCTATCACTTCCTGCAGGTGTTTCTGGCTCTGAAGCTGTGGTGTCTGGATCTGTGGTTGCGAGTCACCTGCTGCCCCTGTGTTCCTGCTCGACACCCTCTGCTACAACTATTGTTACTAGTCCTATTGTTATTATTGTTATTATAATCATTAACATTATGATTATTATCATTAACACTACTGTAAATATCTGTACCATTATTCATTCAGTCTATAGCAACATTACCTTTACTGTCTGTACCTCTGTGTGTATATTGTGTAGGCTACCTCCCTCCCCCCTCTCTCTCCTTCCATCCCCCTCCCTCTTCCTCTCTCTCTCTCTCTCTCTCTCTCTCTCTCTCCCTCTCTCTCTCACCCCCAACCGGTCGAGGCAGATGGCCGCCCACCCTGAGCCATTGTTCTGCTCGAGGTTTCTGCCTCTTAAAAGGACGTTTTTCCTTGCCTCTGTCGCCTAGTGCTTGCTCTTGGTGGGAACTGTTGGGTTTCTGTAAGTATCATCATAGAGTACGGTCTAGACCTGCTCTTTTATGAAAAGCACTCAGAGACAACTGTTGTTGTGATTTGGCTCTATATAAATAAAATTGAATTGAATTGAAATGTAGAATGCTTTACATACAGTAATGAAATACAACTGCTCAAATATTTGTGTCAGAGAGTTACTGATTCAACTCAGTGGTCATTTATTATAGTGTAGTTAGTGGGGTTGTGGGGTTGTGGTATTGGATTGTGGGAAACAAAATAATAAAAACAATTTTCAATGTAAAGACATCCCACACAACAGCACCACAAAGTGCACCTTCAAAAAGGACAAAATGGACAAACTTTAGTACTAACAAAATTTTACATTTTGGCTAAGGTATTCGTTGCAGAGTTATTATATGGCACTGTTTCAATTTTTCTGATTAATGACAATCGTTACATATAAGTTTTATGGGTTTCCTTCAGTATAGCTGATTCTCACAACTATTGTGGTAAGAAGTGTTAAAAGCACAGATAACTTTATAGTTTTTATTAGAACAGCACACATTTGGTTAGCTTCACAATGCAAAACATTTGTTAAACAGTATAATACTGTGAGGAATATGATGTACCTTGTCCATTCTCAGTCTGTGGACAACAGCCTCGTGGTCTTTCAGAATTCCGTTCTGCTCACACAGTCGACCCAAGAGTTTCTGTGTCAGACAGGTCAACAGGTGGTTACCACATGTGCTTTGTAGAAACCAGGAAGAAAACATAAAACAAAGAGACTACAAGAATGTATCTGAGTGAGTACATGCTCGCACTATAGAGCAGTCTGTGTTCTAGGTCATCCCAAACGTGTTTGAATGGGGTTGAGGTAAGGGCTCTGTGCAGGTCAGTCAAGTTTACACCAAACTAGAGCCCGATCGATTGGCTGAAATGAGCCAATTGCATTTAAATCGGTATCAGCGTTTATAACAGCTGATTAATGAATATTAAAAAAGAAAGGGAGAGACAGATCCTTCACTCATGCCATGGTTGTTGCGTAGTTTCCCACCAGTGGGCACTCTGCAGCTCCCCTGTTAACAACACTGTGCATCACATAACAAAACAATCAGCTGACCGACAGTATGTGATCACGGTGAGTTGATTATTCTTCATGTAAAATACATAACTTAAATAATGAAAACATTCATGTGTGGCAGTTCAAGGGGGTGGTGATGGGGCAGTGGATAAGACACATGCCTTTGGTGTGAGAGACCTTGGTTCGAATCCACTGGGGGACACCATTGTGTCCCTGAGCAATACATTTAACCCCTAGTTGCTCCAGAGGCGTACAACCTCTGACATACATAGCAATTGTAAGTCGCTTTGGATAAAAGCATCAGCTAAATGAAGCGAACGGTCCTCTCATTTCTCCCTAGTTCATTACTTCTAAATATTCTCTTAACATCAATTACAGCCGCTGCACAATAGTAAATGAGATTAGTCACAAAACTAGCTATAGCTTAAACTATGATGATGTTGTTCTAATTATACTCGGTGTGCCAGAAATGATTAAACAAGAGTGGACATGTAAGTAAAAGTTAGCTGAACAAGTAGCTAACACGGCTTCCTGTTATTTAGCTCCTCCAATTTTTCAAATGTGATATGTTAGTGTGAAATCTCAAAGTTGCAGGTCCTCATTGTAGACTGTCTTTTAGTATTAGATGCATTCAAGAGCAGCCTTTCCCCAGGGTCACTGTATCGTAGATGGTATGTTTAGAGCCAGATGGTGGTTAAAACATGGTTTCTCGTAGCATTGGATAGAATTAAAGAGTGCTGGTTAAGGGATAAAGTAATATGCTATATGTGAATATGCTACATTGAAAGTAGTTATCTACTATTAGCTATTAATATCAGACTGTTCGAAGTGTAGTTTATACAAAAAGGGGTCTACTATCCAGAGGTGTGGACTTTAATCACATGACTTGTATAGCTGGACATATTATTACTAAATTGACCACAGAGAAAAACGACGTTAAAGGGTACCCAGTGCATTAAAAAGCAACACTTGTCTGAAATATTTGTATACTTCAGCATTCAGAGTAGGTGCATAGAACACAGACCAAATTTGGGTGTTCAGGGGTGTTCACATACTTTTGGCCATGCAGTGTGAATCATCTGAGTGTGTATGTATTTATTATATGTCCCTTACACTGGTTTCAATCTCATTGAGTTTCAGTGTGGGGTGTAACTCTCTGCTGTAGACATCATGGAAAGGAGGCACCTGCGAAAACAAAGAGTGAACAAATCACTAGCTGCTCCATTAAGAGGAAAGCAAAAGTTCAATGTTTACATCTTGTTCTTTATTCTGAGAAATGTAAAGCTGCATTTATTTAGAAAACCATCAAGATCAACATGTCTTTTGCAGGCAAGGACATCTAAATGAAGAAACCTCTGCCAATAACGACATTATTGATTTGCAATGAGCTATTAGTGCTTATTTTGCTGCCTGGGTTTTTAGGTTTTCTGCAGCAGATGGCAGTTAATTAAGACAAAAATACAGCATTTAATGTCTGCCATCAGTTTGATGGGAAGAACTCCATGGAGCCATTCTTCAGCCTGATATACGTAAACAACATGTTAGCATACTGATAACGCATATCTACACATTGCCTCATCTGTCTCAGAATGAAGAACTCCGCCCCAGCCACACCAGCACACCCCCATCATACCCTGAACACAATTGTTACATCCACATTTACAGAGTGTCCAAGATCTGTGATTGAATGGGAACATGATGAAGGGAACAGAATGTTGAATTACTTTAGTATTGTGACTGAAGACACTGATGCCTGAAACCAGTCATTGAAACAGCACCATGTAAAGAGTGATGTGACACATTAGCTTAATGACTTAAAGAGGCTTCCCAATAGACTGGAAGTGATATGTGAATGTGTGTTGTAAGTTTGAAGAGGTCAACAAGATTGTACACAACAACAGAGTGCAACAGCATGGGATTCCAGCAGGAGCCTTTAATGGCATGCTATTCACCATGCATGCGGAAGACACCTTGTATGACCTGGTTTGTTTGAAGCCCTTAACTCAAGGACTATGAAATATAGTTTAGTTATTTGAAACTATGCTAAGTTACAGTATAATGCATTGGCGGTACAGTCTTCAATGCCTATTTGATTATGAATCTTTTATTAAACCTCTTACCATTCCTGTAAAATTCTTGCAAAATGCCTATTCAAGGCATATCCAAAGTAACTGAATGTAGTTCTCGAACCATTTGAAGTAAATGCATGGTTTTGGCCTTCTCTGAAAGATAACACTGAAGTGATGAATGTAAATGTTCCGTAATTGTATAGCGCCTTTCTAGTCTTTTCAACCACTCAAAACGCTTTTACCCTACATCTGCATTCACCATTCACACACATTCATACACTGGCGGAACAGCCGCCAGGGGCAATTTGGGGTTCAGTATCTTGCCCAAGGACACTTCGACATGCAGCCTGGGGGAGCTGGGGATTGAATCGCCGACCTTCCGATTAATGGCCAACCCGCCCTACCCCCTGAGCCACAGACGCCCAAAAAGTCAGAATCACCCTACTAAAAGTACTACTGGAATTGATTAACAGGTAGGTAGGTAGGTTTATTGTCACAATATAACAAGTTATAGAGTGAAATTGTGTTTTGTAACCCCCTTCTGCTACATAGCAGACAATATACATATATAAAGAATCACTGGTAAAAATGGTTATAGAGATAAACTATAATCAGTGGAGCAGTTCGGAGGATGAATTAGAGTTTAAGAGTCTGACAGCTTGGGGGAAAAGCTACTCTGCAGCAGAAACTTCTATATCTCTTCCCAGAAGGCAGCAGGGTGAACAGGCTGTGGCTGGGTGGGTACTGTCCTTTAGTATCATTTGGGCTCTGTGTAGACACCTCACCTCACCGATATCACTGATGCTCAGGAGATGGGTAACAATGATCTTCTGAGCAGTTTTAATCACCCGCTGCAGAGCCCTCCGGTCCTGGGCTGTGCACATCCCATGCCAGCTAGTGATGTTTCCAGTCAGGATGCTTTCTATTGCTCCTCTGTAAAAGCTGACAAGAACTTGATGTGGGAGTTTGGCCTTCTTAAGTTTCCTCAAGTAATACAGTCGTATCCGAGTTTTCTTCACCAGCGTGGAGATGTGAGCTGACCATGTCAGGTTCTCTGTGATGCTGATTCCCAGGAGCCTGAAACTGTGGACCTGCTCCACCTCAGCACCACTGATGTAGACAGGAGTGTGTGTCTTTATCTCCTTGTTCCTAAAATCAATGATCAGCTCCTTAGTTTTGCTGACATTGAGCAGTATGTTGTTCTCTGAGCACCACTCTACAAGAATATTTCATTTCATTTATTAGGATCCCCATTAGCTGTAGCTGAAGCAACAGCTATTCTTCCTGGAGTCCACACAGACAAAAACTCTATACAGTGTAGTACACAATTACAAAAAGTCACACATACCAACACAACAAAGACAATACAAACATACACAAACACAATACAACACACTACATAACCCAGCTCTCATCAGTAAAAATCACTCAACAGAACAAACACAAGAAAAAAGATAAAAATATCTATATATTATCTAGACATTACAATGCACTATCTAGAATCTAAGCGTCCTTGGATGAGGAAAGCTGTTTTGCTAGGAGATGTTGATGAATGAATGTATTTTTACTGTTCTCCTGAATAATATGCTCTGGCAGTGTGTTCCATGCAACCATGGCTCTATACATTACAGTGTTCTTCATCATACTGGTTTTCATTTTGGGTAGTGTAAACCTACCCTCAGTAGCATGCCTAGTATAATAGTCATGCACATCTGAGCTCCAACATAGCTGTGTATATAATACCCTTGGTAATTTAGTAACGATTCCTGCTTACAGGCAAAAACTAAAGCTCTGTAAAACCTGTAGTGAGGACATCAAAGAAGTTTACAGCTAAACTCAGACAGCTAAGGTTGGAAAAGAAGGAGGCATTTAGGAGTAATGACAGGGCTGGGTGAAGGGCGTTAAAGTACAGGTTTAGCAAGGAGGCGCGAGAAGCTAAATGTCTGTACTCAGAAAGACTAAAGAACCAGTTCTCTGCAAACGATGCCACATCTGTCTGGAGGGGGGTCAGACAGATCACAAACTATAAACCCAAAGTCCCCCACTCCATAAACGACTCTCACCTGGCAAATGAGCTGAACCACTTCTACTGCCGCTTTGAGAGTCAATCAGACACCATCCCCCGTGACTCCTCTGCTCAGCTTCAGCCTTAGTCCACCACTTCTTCACCCCACTCCTCAGAGCTGGCCAGCTCCAACCCCTCCCCTCCTCTCTCTATCACGAGAGGGAAGTCAGCGGTCTTTTCAAGAGGCAGAAACCCTGCAAAGCAGCTGGGCCGGACTCTGTCTCCCCATCCACCCTGAAGCACTGTGCTGATCAGCTGTCTCCGGTGTTCACAGACATTTTTAACACCTCACTGGAGACATGCCATGTGCCAGCCTGCTTCAAAACCTCCACCATCATCCCTGTCCCCAAGAAACCAAGGACCACAGGACTAAACGATTACAGACCCGTCGCCCTGATCTCTGTGGTAATGAAGTCCTTTGAACGCCTTGTGTTGTCCCACCTAAAATCCATTACAGACCCACTCCTGGACCCCCTGCAGTTCGCCTACAGAGCCAACAGGTCTGTAGATGATGCAATAAACATGGCCCTTCACTACATCCTCCAGCACCTGGACTCCCCAGGAACCTATGCCAGAACCCTGTTTGTGGATTTCAGCTCTGCTTTTAACACCATCATACTGTTCCTGCTGTAGGACAAGCTCTCCCTGAATTCTTGCTTAAGAACATCAGTATAGTATAAGTTAAAAAGTGAAAATACTCCCAACATGTTTCACATGAAATCATAAAAAGTAATTATGCAGTGTATTTCTGTGTGTGCAGGAGTATTTTTTATTTTCTAGCTTATACTTTAAGATAAATAAGGAGCCATGCACCCAGTACCCATATACTGTAAAACAGAACCTGAAGTTTCTGAAGAGTGCCTTGTTTGCTGCTCTGATATAAGTCTAGTTTAAACACAGAAACAAAGAATAAAAAGTAATTATGCAGTGTATTTCTGTGTGTGCAGGAGTATTTTTTATTTTCTAGCTTATACTTTAAGATAAATAAGGAGCCATGCACCCAGTACCCATATACTGTAAAACAGAACCTGAAGTTTCTGAAGAGTGCCTTGTTTGCTGCTCTGATATAAGTCTAGTTTAAACACAGAAACAAAGAATGATCTGCACAGAGTAATTAGGAATCCCACTAGGTGGTTTTTATTGTGACCTTGCAAACTCTGAGGTCTTAGAGCTGACTGAATGCACATGTAGTAAATAGGTGAGTCTATACAATGTAAACCAGACAAGAGCTTCTCAGAGGTCGCAATAAATGACACCTCCTACAGGGCTTCAAAACTGTGCAGTTTGTTTTTCACTACAGAGTAACTTCACATGTCACATTTGTCTCTTAAAGAAATGTCAAAATAAAACAGTATATAGCATCAACCTTTCATTTTATACTTTCTACTAACATATATGCAAAATGTTAGCCTATAAATAACATCTTAATATTTTCATTTACAGCTGTTAACTATAATAAGTTTAGATCAGACTATTTAAAATTAAAATGTGAAACTGATGATGAATCAAGAATGATTTTATTATGTATAATTAGTCTGATACACTTTATAACAAAGTATTCCTAATACACAAGCAATAGTTTAATAAATTAAACTCGTCTTGCATTCATGAAAACATCTATATTAAAAGGCTACATATGTAAAAGTAGTTTTGTATAACTTGAAATGTGTGGAGAGTTATTATAATGATAGAATCTGTTGATAAGAACCCAGTGTCATAAGTTCATGTCAGTAGTGTTCAGGTGTTGTGAGTAAAAAGAAAAGCAGGAGCTGAAGAGCTGTAAGCTGGAGCTGTTCTCTCCTGAAGAGCTGGACACAGTTAATCACATCTGGAGGGTTCTGCAATCAGCTCATCTGGCACCTGTAAATACAACAATGGGTAGACAGTTAAGCAGCTTCTTCCAAAGAGCCATAAAGCTACTCAACTCTGACATCACGTTAGCATGATAACCTCTCTGGCATGTGACAGTAATTAGGAGCGCCAATGTGAAATACACTGTTTACTAATATGTGCAATATACGGTTTTCTGCTGGACACTGTGCAACAATAAC